AACACTAGCTGCTCTTCTGACTCTGTCCTCAGTATGTTGAACACTGATTGCAAAGGATGAAAGTGATAGCAAGATGGAGAAAATGAAATTTCTCTTAGCTAAACTCTAAGTACTTATCTCCCAGTAGAGTTTTACAACTTGTGTCCCACACAAGATGCTGCCAGGGAATTAGGTAAGAAATTTTTGCAAGGACCTGCTGCATTTTGTAATCAACAGCTATCCTATGCTTAAATATCGTTTTCCAAATGTCTGAGGGCAGCCACTGCTGTTTGGCTCAACAACAACAACGAAAAGCTCTGATTTCCTTGGACAGCATCACTTTAATCTGATGACTCTCAGAGCTCTTACTACCAATTTGCAGCATATTGCATCTGCATGCATTACACAAGATTCATCTTCAATTGAAATTCAAATTATCGTTTCAACATACTTCTATTATGTGGCATTTTTTAATTCCATCATTAATTCCACTTGCTTTCTGCTGTAAACACAAACTGAAAGTAGGCAAAGTTCTTAGCTGCATGTCTATAAACTAGGGTTTCATCTAGAAATGAAGGACACATCAGATCACCTACAGACAGAAAGGCTTTGTTTTGGCAACTACTTTTACTACACTCACTGAGCTCTGGTGATTATGACTAACAGGACTGAACAACTGACAGTAGCCATCAGCAAAAATTAATTTAGTCTTTGCTGAACCACTTTGACACTAGTTATCCTAGGGAGGGTTCATTAGATAAATCCTGAAAAACTCAACTGTTTTAGTGGTAACCGGGGAAGGGTTCAAAGTGATTTCTTTGGAAGCAGGATTAAATTGCATGGAATTATACAACTGATTCAGAAAAGGCAGCAACAAGTCCATGCTATGCACTTCTTAGAGAAAGAGATTTCTATCATTTCCACTTCTACGATTGCCTTCTCCAGTTTCCATGGAGAAAAATCTAATTGACACCAATATATAAATGTCTTTACTATAGCTTGTAAACTGACTTATAAATAAACAAAACAGACACTTGCAAAAATAGAAAAACCTTTCAGGCTTTTGATCTTTTGGATATACCTGAAAAGACAGACTCTACCATGGGATCTGTAATTGCTGCACAGAAGAGTTCAATGTGTGGCAGCTGCAGCTTTATCTGGAACACTGTGAACTAATAACACGTTGCTTACACTTGTTACTGCATTATTTTCATAAGCTTCCACAGCATTTCTATCCAGCTGTCTTTGGATTTGTTGGCTTTGCTAACAGCTCTATAACATCTCCGCAGAGATGAGCACCTCAATATCATTTTACAAGTAACAATGGTTTCCTAAGAGCCAGGACATACAAATAAAACCCTCTCTGCTACAAACCTGTCCCAGCAACTTTCAAAATTACTGCGGCTAACAATACAAATCCAAAGTAAGTGCTTAACTATTACTCTTCTGGGGAGAATATAAGAAAATCAGGATGGTCTTTCATGTCTGCAAGTAATATGGGTGGATTTGCCCAGAGAGTGAGTCAAACAAATTCAAAGGTTAGTTTAGAAGACAGGCAAAAACCCACAGATTTGTCAACGTCATCATTCACCAAGATGCATAGGTCCTAGAAATTGTATTAGCTACAAGGACGCAAAAGTAAGCCTTTCTAATGTTATGGAATAGGCTAACATCTAAAGACAGTTTATCAGTTTTCCTGAGTTCAGCCATACAAAGCTGGGCTTTGTATTGCCATGTTAAGCAATTCAGACGAGACTGGATGTCCAGAAATGAAAGAATTCTGCGTTAGATCACTCTGTTCATTATTTCAGTTTTGCACACACGATACACTACTGAGATTTGTCATTAATTCACTGAAAGTCTCAACTGAGACACAGTGACGCATTTGAGATTTACTGCACGCCACAGGAGCCATATCAACATTCAATTGAACAGAACATAATTCTCTGAAATGGTAATATCTTTTGCAATTTTGACTTACTGCAAGTCCACTGCATTACAATATGGCATTAGTTTTCCACTTGTATTACAAACATTAAGCTGCATTAGCCCTTGAACAGAGATTAACTGTTTTCCACATCAAATAGTTTTTCCTTCAGTTAATGCTACAAGGCTGTGATTTAGCCAGAAAAACTTAAAATGAATGGGACATATGTTACAGACATTGAGTAACATTTGTAGATACCTTCTGCAGTCATTCACAATGCAGGACCATTTTACCTTCTCAAGAATTATCTGTCATACTAAAACTATTAAATCTGTTAAATTACTTTAAAACACTCATCCCCACACTCCTTTAAGCCTTAGGATTTGAGCTTTTTTTTGTTTACTTAAGAAATAAGTTAAATGTTGACATCAGAACTGCACCCTTATCATTAGATTCCTCTATTTGCAGCAGCCTTGTTTTAATAAATAAAATTTTTTTAAAAGTTATCTGGACAAATATTTATAATGGCTAGTAGAAAACACAGTTAAATAAGAGAGCTTTGTAAACAAGTATATCAAAATGTCTTGTCCTTCTATAAAATTTCCTGGCATTATGAGGCTAGAAAACCAGAAATAGGGAAATTTTTTAGACAGGCTTATCTCTTTCTGCATGTAATGCTACACAATTTATTATTCCTTGGCATATTATCAGTCAGGAAAAAAAACCCACAAAACAGCTGAACATTTTCATGTAAGGGATAAAAGACCACCACTGTGCACAATTTATTTGTCATGCACATTCCTGTCACTGTCAAAGTTACTAACGTTTAACCACAGAAAAATAGTGAAGAACATTAAATGCAAACGGGAACTGGTACCTATTTCTCAATGGATAACTCAGTTTGAATACCTAGAAATCGCTCAGCAAGCCTTGCATTGATGCTAAGTAGCTTACTTTGTATTTTTCCTTCAGATTGCAGCAAGCTTCCCTTCAGGAGTGTTGGGCTACAACTCAAAGCTGAACTCCAGACGTTGTTTTTCGGGCATATAGACATAAAAGTAACCCAAACCACATCCTGATCTGGAAAGTAAGTCACAAAAACAAAATATGTGTAAACTATTCCAATATCATTACAATGCCTTTCCACCTGACACGATTTGCTCCGTAGTTTTCTCAAATACCCACTTCCACTTCCAGATCTGCCAGCAGTCTTCCAGTCTTTAGATCTGCCAGCAGAGCTGGACACCATACCAGTTCACTGCTCTGGTCAGTCTTGGAAACAGATTTGCTTTAGTCCTCATAGAATCCCAGCACTGAAATAAAGCCTGTAGTTTTCCTTTATAAGCAAAGGATGGTATGAAACACACATGGGAGTTAAAGAGCTTGGCTCTTTGCTGCTAACTATGCAGACTCTCACAGGTGGCACGTAGAGAAGAACCAAGGATAGATCAAAAGATGAATTATTTTTTTCTGCATTGCAGGAACAATTCTATTATCTCAAAGTAGGTATACTATCCACTGCATGCTTATGAACGTATTTCACTGGAAAACGTCCCCAGTGTGCTAAAAAAATACAAAAACAAGTCACGGGGTCAACAGTCACGATATAGATCAAACTCAAGTAGTCTCACTGAATGTAGCCATCCTTCCTTGTGTTAAACACTGAAATAAATGAGAAACAGTCAAGAAAACAAAAATGCTTAGAGATTAAAAAAACAAAAAACAACTCCCCAGACTGCCTCTATTTGTTACCACACTACTATCAGTAAAAACCACCTGTCACATTATATCTATCTTTTGAGGAGAGCACTGCACTTCGGTTACGCCTGCTAAAGTGCTTCTGACCTACCGTTACCAGATTCTTAGCACATTCTCATGTTCATTCTCCTTGCATTTCAGTTTTAGTACCTCCATGGGAATAAAAACTATGTGACATATATTATAGATGAGCTCTTTACCATTAGCAGTTTAAGTTTTACAGAAGGAACACATTCTACACGACTTACTTAAAATATTTGCATAGAAATAAGCTTGCACTGGAAAGGCTGTAGAAGAGGGAGAGAAACTCCATAAACTCTCAGGAGTATGAGTCAAAGGGAACACCTTGTAATGCTTTGATTTCTAATTAGAATATAAGATGCTTGAGGAAAGAAGCATATCAGAACTGGCCAATTAAGAAGACTCTTATTGTTCTTACACTGCAAGACCCCTTACTTTACTGTAAGATGGAAAATCATTACAAATTGGTTAATACTTCACTACCTAGGCCGCTATCCTTTGGAAAACAAAAAATTATTTTTAACAAAATACAGGCAACAGATACAACTAAAATAGTTTTATCTTCTGGTTTCCAAGGAGATGAGTGACCTGCATTCCCTTCCACTAACATGTGTAAGTAAAGCCTGAAAAAAATAAAATGAAAGCTAATTGCTACAGAGATTATCATCTCCTCAAAGCTGAAGTCAGCCTGAAAAAATAAGAACTTGGGTAGCTCATTTACCAAGACAGTTTCATAACTGTTTTTCACAAGCTTCTTTTTAACAGAGAATTCACTGTAATTAGGTATTGTCAGTCCTTATTTTAGAGGGAGAGAAACATAGGCAACAAAGGCTGCTCTACCATGAAAATACATACTACAATCAATAAATCTAGTTTTAGCACATGTGGGGCAAAAACTCCCTATCAGATGAAATCTACCCCATTGCACTCAATCAGCAGTTATTTGAAGCAAGCACTTCTGTTGTATCAGCAATTCTCTATTTCAGTCTTCCAGAATCTCAGAAGGATTGTGCTTTCTTCCTAAGCCAAGATCAAGAAACATACCAGAGACCATAGCACTTGTAATCATATATTCAGTGTTCTCCTAATCTACAAAAAGCAGATTTGTTTTATCCAAGCACACAGTAGAAGAGATTATGTGTCTTCCCCTACTTTGCTAGGGAGCATCATACACGTTTATACCACCTTAGATTTAAAAAACAAACAAAAACTACTTTTGTCTTAGAAAACCATTTCAGGTTTCTCCTCTGATAATTTCCTATCTCCTCTAAGGCAACATTGAACGCATACATTTTTATATTCAAAAGTCCATTACCCTGCTTTTCCTGCTGTCTTCCCTTCATGAAATCTTCCAAGTAAAAAACTTCAGAGAGTAAGAGCGAGCTGCTGGACTCCAGTGCACTACTGTGAGCAAGGAGCACACAAATGGCACACCTGGACTGCATTAGGATTAATTTCAGCCTTGTCTAATCCATCTCAGCTAGCAGTGTTAAAGGAAACCAAGAAATGTGTGGAGACAGGATAAGGGGAAAATGGCCAGAAGCTGGGGCATAGGGATTTTTTGCACACATTTGTGCAGAACTTCTTTACAGTGAGGGGGATGGAGCACTGGAACAGGCTGCCCAGGGAGGTTGTGGAGTCTCCTTCTCTGGAGATGTTCAAGACCCACCTGAACACCTACTTGTGTGACCTTGCAGGAGGGTTCGACTCTATGATCTCTGAAGGTCCCTTCCAACCCCTACGATTCTGTGGAATCACCAAAACCTAGAAAGCCCTGGATACCAGTTCCAGTTTGTAATCAGGTAGTAGATGAAGAATTTATTTGTGATATTTTCACAATTTACTTTAGAACCCCATACCGTTAATGTTATCTTTACTTCCTGTGTTGTAGAATGGGAACTCTAGCTTTAAAAGACTCACAGCTGTTAGTGAGAAATTCCTGCACCTGAAACATGTATTTGGTACAGGTTAAGCAACAGGTTAATGAAAGATGCTGAGAAAAAGTTTTATTTCAGAAGACAAAACAAGAAGTTGAAGGACACAAATATGTTGGACCTGACTAATTAAGCATTACAAAGTACAGATACGTGTAGGTATTTTTAACAGTCTCATGAAAGGGAGAGACCATTATCCTAAGAAAAGTGGGAGAAGCTGAGCAGCTACAAGTGAGTTAAACATCAAACTCACAGATGAATTAAATGGAGTGCAATTGTAACAAACACAAGAGAAAACTATGAGTATGTAACACCAGAACTGGAGATTGAAGGGCACGATGGATTAGCAAAAAGACACAAACAGCAATAAGAAACAAAAGAACAAGACCTGGAAAAACTTGAGTATAGGACCCCTGCAAAAAAAAAAAAAAACAAAAAAAAAACCCAAAAGCATTCAATATCTGTTTTGCTTAACAGTAAGGTTAGTTTAAAAGAGCTAGGATGTCACATGCCAACCACAACTAAAATTAAGAGGAAAGGGAAAGTAGCAGGAAATGAAAAACATTGAGGTAGCATGGAGAATACTTGTAGTTCCTCTACCTCCAATATCAAATGTGCTTTGATCTCTGATGAATTTAACAGTCACTCAGACTCTTTTGCTTGCTATTATTTGGATTTGTATTACACATCTTTCACTACGCAAAAAATGTTTTCTGGACAGCCGGCTATAATGTGATTTCTTTCCATTTCTCTGTGCTTATGCCATTTTGTATACATACACATATTCCTGTATCCTATTCTATCTCTATTGTCTTGACCAGCCAAGCATACTTTATGCTCTTATTTTGATAGTAATCCTCTCCTTTCAAACTTGTTTGTGCAAAGGATAGTCTTTCATTTCATATAGGATAATCTCTATTCAAAGCAATATTAATTTTAAATAAAAAGTGCTGCAGCAAACACTTTCACATTTCCCTATTACCAAGGCTCTCTGGGGTATTTATATAGCTCATCATACAACATTTCCTTGATACCATGAGCTCTCTCATTCTACAGATAGAAAGAAAGATGAAAGAAATCTGCTGTTGAGTGTTTGCAGCCATGTGCTCACTCTTATCTCTTCCTGCAAGCACAGCCTCACCTAATTACAAGATCACTAACATCCACAGCTGTGTGGTAGAGCCCGACACAGGTGTGTTGCATCATTACAGAAACAAGATGAGAAATGTAGGATCCTTGCACTGATATCTCTGTGATGAGGTATTCTCCAGCATTCCTGTGTTGGTAAGCATTTGATGCTACAGAAGGTTACTCAATAGGCAGCTGTACCAAGCTAGATAGAAAGAGATGTGGCATGCACTGACAGACACGTTTTGGGATGCAGCTATTACAGCACAGTCAGCAGGAAGCCCAAGGCAAAATGGTGTTTTATTAAGGTAAAGCACAAAACACAGAGAAAGGCTAAGTAAGGTTATCAATCCTTTTGATTCCACAGAAAATAAACGATACTGCTGCTTATAGCTTAAACTCAGGTCAGACTAGTGTGAAACTGAGCCACAGAATTCTCACTGAAAACAAAACTCCTTATACAAAAGGCTTTTCTTTCCTAGCAGCAAACAATTAAATATCCATGTTCAAAACTCCTCAAACTAAAAACAGTAACAAACTCAAAACACAAGTAGACCGTAAAACTGCTATTTAAAAAGCTACAGAATAATTTAACTAAGAGTACTGTTGGTATATAACCAAAGGCCTTCACTTCTATACCCTTTACAACTTAACAATAAGCAGGCGAGATACATTTGGTGCTGTGTGATAGTTTCAATCCAAGGCAAGTAAAGGATTTTCTTTTTCTGTAGCACGTTCTATTATGGAGTTTTGTATGCTGTTCCTGGGATAGTAGAGGATCTCTGGAGCAGAAACTCTTCCATGGATACATGGCTGCTGGGTACAACTCCTTAGCTTAACATTGCTGTACAACCTTGTTTTCACCAGTCTGATGACCCTGGAAGACAGCAGAATGCTGGCAAGCAAGACCTTAGCACTCAGGCTTTCCTATTTGTGGCCGTGTAGGAAACTTAGCGATTTCCATTCATTTTTTATGCTTCTCATCATTCCCCATATCGAAATATTAAAAGTTGACAATAACCGTGTGTATGCAGTTCGCCTACTGCATGGACGCTTGGTACAGAGCATTTTCAGAAATCTCTCCATGAAACTAATTTAATGGCAAGTTATATAAGTGCAGTGGAGTCTGATTCAGTTTGAAAATTCAATATCTAAAATCCCATTACAGTAGTTGTATTAACAAACTGCATTTATAGATGAATTCTGATCTGGGGTTTCCACTCCCAAACTGCTCTGAGAACACTAACCTTGCAGTTAAATTCAACTGTCTACCACTAGGGTATTCTAAGGAGCTCACAGCAAAATCAGCAAGATGAAATGTATTTCAATTCTTTTAACAGAAGAGTGAAATTTAAATTACAGATTTTAACGTTCGAGTGGTTGAAGAAACATACTTAAACAGCTGCCTAAAATATTCCTTCTTGAGAGGTATTATTAAATACATCAATGAAATTGGGCTCAAATTGAATTCAGTGTATATGAAAAATCATGATATGTATACAGTTTTTATAATAAGCTCACACGTGTCCACTGAGAGTAGTCAAGGAAAATGTCTGAATTCTGCAAAATATGATGAACAACTAAAATCAGTACTAAATACACAAACTGCTTCAAGATCAGGATGAGGACAGGAGCAGCTGGACTGAATAGTAATAAGGTTATAGATCAGTATTGGTGTTTACAGTCCTTCTGATGATCCATGTCTCTTCTCCTTCCTCAGGTGTCCAAATATCATTTTATCCCAAATACCCCAGTCTCTTGAGTTCATGTCTTTTTGAGCCTAGAAACCTTCTGAAGGACTCTTTCTTCTATCCTCCTCTTGGTAGGCTTGGTTGAGTTTTTTTTTACAGTTCTGTGGGACATTAGAGATGAATTCCAAACAATGAATTCCAGTGTTGAGGAAAGGTTGTGCTGACTTGAGACAGAGAAGCACATTTTTAAGAATAAGAACTACATTACTTGACCTTGCTATCAGTTACTCTTTCAGGGAATTATAGAGCATCATTTGGCTGGGAGAGGAGAAGTCTGTGTACACTGTTCAAAGAAAGTGAGCTGTATTGGCATTTTTATGCTCACAGAATAATTATAAGTAAACTATTCTATGACTGAGTATAGGCTAGCATAAAATGCGTGAGTAAGCCTGGGAAGCTTATAAAATGGGATCAATGAAATATAAAATGCTGTATCTAAATTCAGGTCTGTAAAAGTCATCAATTTCCAAGGTCTTTGCTAAGGTATTACAAAACCTACAAAGAATGCTAGAAACAATTAAAAAAAAAAAAAGATATTTGAAAGTAATTTGTGTGCAACCGTACAATTTTATTAACTTCTTTTCCCCATGACATAAATATTATCATATTTAAGTTCTTCATTTCAGCACATAGAGCTGCCATTTGCACAGTATTTAGCAGGTTGCCTTAGATCGATGAGGTATGACAGAGGTTGAAGTTAAAGTTGATTTGGACAATAAGCATGATGCATGCTGAATTGAGTCCTCATGGTGTTTGGTAAAGTAAAACAAAGTGTACTGGAAGAAGCATACCTGTTATGTTTTGTTTCTTCCTAAGACAAAAATAAGTAATGTAGGTGTTATTCATTGCTTTTATGAAATTACAATGACTTGGTCCAGCTAGCATTTCAGAATATTTAATCCCTTTATATCAGCAGAGGGATTTATAGGCAAAGAATGCAGGCAGCAGAGTGAAAGCTGTAATCTTTGTCTTTAAAAGCGCGATTGGCACTGGAATTATAAATTTTATTCAGGAGGATGCAATTAAATCTCAGTTTTCATGTAAAGCTGGCGTCATAAAATTTAAAGGCCTGTGTGTGAACAGAAACATAACAGTGGGGAAAAGCAAAGGCTATAGCTGGCTATGGATCATTTCTTCTTCTCCACATGGTTTGAGGGAAAAATAGCTGGATGCGCAGAGTGAAGCCAATCCACAGTAAGCTCATATCAGCTCCACTGACCTAATGGCAGTAAGAAGTCCAGGACTGAAGAGCTCAGACTCCTGGGGAAAGCAAATAATGTTTTTAAGTGAAGATTTTATCAGCTGCACAGATTTAAAGGAAAAAAAAAAAAAAAGAGAAATGGGAAGTCTCTTCAGTCTCAAGGGAGAAAGAAGAATCTTGTTAGTCAAACAAATACCCTTTCATAAGCTTCAATACCAATTGCCAGGGATCTTTTAGCTCAGGAAGTTTCTGTAAGTAAATTTCAATCTGTTTGCTTTGTTATGTTAATAGAAATAGCAGACTTTCATGGGAGAGAGGGCTGGGGTGGAATGAGATACCTACAAATATAGACAAGACAGAAAGACAGGCAGAATGACAAACAAATTC